CCGCTCCTCGCCTCGCCGCGGGGCGAGAGGCCGTTGTCTTCCCAGCCCGAGGGGCTTTGGAGCCCTGAAAGGGCGTCGGCTGCGGGGGAAGCTCGAAGCTGAGGGCAAGGGAGCGAGGCCGAGGAGCCATCATCCCCCCAGCGGCTCCTTTGAAGGGCTGCAGCTTGAGAGACCTCAATCTTCCCGCCAAGCCATGAGTGCTGGGATGTGCTTTTGGGGCAAGAAACGAAGAGGCAGCTGGCGAATATAACCTGTACAGAGATGTACACCTGCAGAGAGCATATACAAATGAGCCTTTAGATCCACGGCTTACCTGCTGCCCCAGGGTCCCCAGAGCCCTTTTATCCAGCGCCCACCGCTGCTCAGCAGCAAGGCCAAGGCCACGCCGCCAGCATGGCCGCCCTGCTAGCATGGCCTTCTCAACAGGACTGCCCAGGGAAATACCTGCAGCTGCAGCCCGGTTTTGGCTGTCCAGAATGCTGGTAGTGAGAAAATTTGGGGTAAGGAACACCTAATGTAGGCAAGGCCTGAGTGTATTAATTAAACCCTTACTGAACAGGAAAAAAAAAAGGGGGGGGAAAAAAGCAAAAGTTAAATATTTTTCACAAATTCTTCTTCCATCTTTAATGATGGCATGCAGAACTTCTAAATATTTCAGCCCTACAGATGTTTGCACTCATACAGTTTAGCTCTCTCAAGCAGATAAAAATGAGCCCATTTCATATTCATATTATGAAAGAACTAAGGTTTCAGTCTCTTTTGTGAGACTTTATAAAGCATTTGTAAAATAAAATTGCCTCACACCCTGCCACTTCTGCTTCGGTACTCTAATTGTAGCTTGTATTTAGTAGCCTCTTAAGTCTTGTAGGCAACTGTGCAGCCTAGAATTAGGTTAAACTAAAAATAAAATTCTGAAACTAGGGATTCAGGGCAATACGAAGGCTTTGTTGGATTCTTGGGAAACACTTCAGGAAGAAACAGCTACTGAGGAAAAAATGCTTTCTGGCTCTCTCTTTACTTAGTAGCATGTCTTTAGCTGTATTTGACAAAGTAGTTTGTAAAGCAATGACGAATAGTATAACATCACGTTCATAAGTTTCAAAGAATTGTGGGAGATTTATAGTAAATTACACTCTGGGTTCCACACCAACAAGCAGCACTAGATACTGATATTGAGGTCTGCCTACAAACACATTTTCTCAGAATCACAGTTGAATCAGTAGATTAGTCATATCTGTGTCTTCAAAAATTATTAGATTTGCCATTTATACAAAAGCAAGCAAAGTAATGATTGACAGATATATCAAATAATAGTGAAAGAAAGGAAACGCATCAAAAGAAGATACTCCCAGAGGAATTATTAATATATGAGAAGACATCATGATGCAAACAGCCTGGTACTAAAGATGTAAATTACCTGCTGTATTTTCCTCTGCACGATACTTGGTATCTACAGCATAAGTTAACTGTCAGTAAGGCTCAGTGAGCATTTAAAAAAAGGTCTTGAAATAAACCTCCAGGACAAAACTAGTACTCAAATTGCAACACAGTAGTCAAGAGAACTACATTGTCAGAGATACCATTGTTTATTTGGCTTTTGAACCAGATGTGTGTCCATCTGCGGACTGCCTCAGAAGATTAAAGTTGTGTTTCATCGTGGAAAACAGTAGGTAATATTTTATACTGTACCTTCCACTTAACAGATAAATGCACCATTGATTCATGCTGTAACTCTAGTAGCTGCATTTCTTCATTTGCAGTCTAACAATTTTTATAACAACACCCCAGAGGTTCTTGCCTTTAACTTCACTAGAAGTTATCCTAGAAAAAGATTGTGCAGGATTTGGGGAAACTTCTGTAAAAGCTGGAGAAGAATGTATCCCCATTAACATACGTCTAAAAAAATTAATTGGTGTGTTTTCTGTGTGCGAAGGTACTTTTGTTCATATAAAACCCTGAATACTTTCTGCCACGTTTGTTGTAGAAAAGCATGCAAATTACACCAACTAAATGAAAATATGACAGTGCTGTATTCAAATGTAAAGCAGAATCTCATTGTAAACACACATGTCGTGTTTAAAACGTAAGGTACGCCACGTGTAAACTAGCCTATCTGCTTTCCTGATCTCACCCTCTGTACAAAGCGGCAGCTACGAGGCCCAGCACCACACACATACTCGAGCTTTGATTTGCAGGAAGAAAACCACGCTGGGCTTTCAGAGAGGTGGCAAAATCGTACTCTGAGCGTACCCTAAAAATCCGCAAACAGAACAAAAAGGATTCCTCCTTCGGTTTTGCCCTTGGTGTACGAGCTGTAAGGGCCACCTGAGCCCGCGTCCCTGTGCGGGAAGGGTGCACAAACGGGCCGGGGCCGGAACGCGCGGCGCGGCGCCTCCTGCCTCCCACCCGGCGCCATAAAGCCGCGGACGGGGGAGGTGCTTGTGTTCTACGGGTCGTGGTGTTTGGCGGTGTTTAGTGGGGCGAAGATGGCGGCGTTTTCGGGTACGTGGTGCTGGGGCAGGGTGGGGAGGGGTCTGCTGTGCCGCTGGCAGGGAAGCACTGGGAGACCCTCTTGGCTGTGGATCTGCTGGCGCCTTGTGCGGGTGGCGGCTCCCGGTCCGCCTGTGGCGGACGGGCCCTGTCAGCGCCGCACGCAGCTCCTCGGGCCTGCCTTCGGTGCGGGCCCAGGCAGTATGTGGCTTACCACGTAGCAGGCTTCAGGTCGAGAGGCCTGTGGGGTTGTCGGTGCTCTTCCCGGCTCCTCAAAATGGATGTGCTGGTTTTAAGTGCATACGTAGTATGCATGCATCTGGCAAGCGGGGCTGCTTAAAAGTCAGACTCGTTCCTTGGGCTGATTGGTTTGTGTAAAAGGAGGCTCATCATAACGGTTCTGTGTTTTTCAGTGGATAATGACTGTTTTTTATAGGAGTAGCTCAGTGATATGGTTTGAAGTATGTTTGTAACATGTAACCTAGAAATGTACTGTTGAGGAAGGAAACATCACTGTTTGTCTCCCCCCATGCACATACATGTGCACATAGATGACTAGTCAACATTAGGGTACTGTTAAGTTTTAATGTGTATGAGGTTTTTAGTTTGCTGCTTTTAACTGATTTCTTTATGTCTAATCATGAGAGAAATGCTGAAACTTCTTCCATAGATCTAGAGAGGAGTTCAGATGCTAGACAGCAGGATTAATTTGGCTGTAGTTGAGGAAAGTGTCATAATGCCATTGTTTGATTAAACCCTCGTACTGTGTATCGAATTAACCTGTGAACTGGAAGTATATTAAAAATGGGAAAAATAATGTAGGGATTTATGTGTAACTTGCAATCAATAACTAGTTTTATTGGTAGGGAAAAAGCTTTTTGCTTATGTGGAATGTCTAATTTTGTAGGAGTACAGGCTAACCCTTGAAAATACTAAAGCCTTCTGAAATCATGTTGCAAATAAAACATGTTTCTTATGTGGTTATATTATAGCAAATGGAACAATAATTTTTGATTGCATACATCTATATATGTCAGCCCAGCTCTTTATGTGTGTGGTGTATGTGAAACCCAGCATGTGACAGTGTAAAGGGTAGCATGTAAAAGCTCCCTTCAAGAAAGTGCCCTTTAATACATAAAGAAATTGATTTAGAGTAACCTTATGCACCTGAAAAGACAACCAGCAGCTAAATCGTTATTTTGATGGTATAATACCATTGTTTGGGTTGGTTAAGGTCTGCTTTCCTCTTGCCCTTATTGAATAGCTGCGAGGATTTTTGTGGGTTTCTGTTTTTTCTTTAAATAGAGAGAATTTGTTCATCAACATACAAACATTACTATGTGGCTTCATGTTTAACTTGTGTCTGAGGTACAACCATCAGACCTTGATATGAGTTTGACAGAGTATCTAAGAGGAAAAAAAAAGCTTTCAAAGCTGGATGGGATTAGTAACTCTATGAAAATCAAAGCATTAGCTAGTTAATAGATGTGCTGTAAGTGTGTAAGGCAAGATTTGTGAAAAGAAACTTAAGCATTTCAAATTTGAGTCCTTATATGATACAGATTTGGGGGTTTTTTGAAAACTGTTTGCATTTCAACTGTAGAGAGAGTCAGGATATTTGTGATTAACGAAGTCTTCTCTGTTGTTTGTGTAGGCAGCTTCCTTAAACATGTGAAGATAAGTACCTTGTCCTTGAAATGGTACTTGGTTCCCAGTGTGTTTATTTTGCTGCTATGTCAGCACCTGCCCCTGTGCCTAGTATATACCTGACCTTGCTATAAGTGGGTTCAACTGTCAAAACCATATGTGGGAGAGGGAGACTGTGTCTTACCACTTTAGTAGAGAAGGCTGCATGTGCTGTTACCAGAAAGAATGCTCTTTTTTTTATGTGTGTCTGTAGCTGGAAGCGTTGGCACTTGGAAGTCTTTTGGGCTGTCTTGAGGTAAATAACACTGCTTGTTCCTTTTTTTTCTCATCTTACAGAAATGGGTGTTATGCCTGAGATAGCCCAAGCAGTGGAGGAGATGGACTGGCTGTAAGTAGGAATGCGTTTGAGCCTGGCAAAATCTAATTTGCCTTTCAGCAATATATGACATGCTTCTTAAAATACCTCTGCTGTCACATTAAAACAAAGCAGACATGTATTTTCCTTTAACTGTTACTGTATCTCGTACACTTCTTTTTAGTGTGAATGACTGAAGAACACAAGTTGTGACTGCAGTGGTAACATTTAAACTTGGACAAGCAAAGCACGACTAGTTATAATTCAGTGTCATTTGTTTGATAAAAGCCTCTGTGCTTCTACCTCTATGCTTCTGGTTTGTTTATTATTTATTGTGGGATTATTAGATGAAATACTGTCACATAATTGATGTGAGTTCAGTAAATGTTTTCCAGACTGTGGTCTTAATTCGTGTTCTTCAGAGTTGATGCTTGTGTGTCAGTCTTCTACAGAAGTTGTTCTTCCTGGTTTTAGTTGTGGGTTTGGCTAAAATATTTGACTTCAGAGCTTGTTTTGAATTGTCATTCAGAATGTTATCAGTATGGACAATCTCAGTGTCTGTAGTTCTTCTGTCCTCATATGCATGGTATTAATTAGCTGTGATTGTCTGAAAATGCTGGTTACATTTAGTTATCTTTACTTTCTTTTCCAGTTTTAAATAGTAATCTTGTAAATGAGGGCTGTGTAAGTGGCTTTAAAAGTGAAACTTGCTTGAAGAAAGGAAAATGGGAATATAAAATTAATCTGTTTCTTTTATAGTTTAGCACAGTGATGTGAGATGTAGCCCTCCTGTCGGGATGCAGTGGAATTCACTGCATCCACTAGTCACTTCCTGTCAAGGTACATCTCCTGGTCCAAGCTCTTTGTAAATGGAATCCTTTCCACTTCCTTAGCTGCAAGCCAGGAAGAATAACACTTACCTGTTATTTCCCACCTTGCAGATGACTGTGGTTTCTGTGAGTTCCTATGTAAGCAAAAATCCTTTTTTCTAGTGGTAACATTGATTTGTGTTAATGTCTTCCTTTTTGTAGTCTTCCTACGGATATCCAAGCAGAATCGATCCCCCTGATCCTAGGAGGTGGCGATGTACTTATGGTATGTATGCAGGATAGCCCTATTCTTAGAAACCTATGTCTTATAATTGTTTGTGCGGTCAATTCCCTTCTTTGCAGCAGGGTACATAGTCAGACTAGGTCTCCCATCCCTCTTCAACAGAAAGTATATTCTTCATCTGAAAATCTCGTTGAGTTCCTGATGAGTTTCCAGCTGTTCTTACAGATGGGATTAATTCTTTCTGGGCTTTATTTTTTAACTACTTGACAGGCACTGCCACATGAATGAGAGCTATCTGATTTCAGCTGCTGTCCTTTTTGTTGTAAATATTTCACATAGACCTGCATGGAACATGACTGATACTGCCTAAACAAATGCTTCAGGATCGATAACCTTGAAGATACCAGATTAGTATGCCTTGTTCATCATGCCTTTTGTTGACCTTTGTGTTCTTGATTCTGTAACCAAAGTGACACTTCATATAATCTTCTGTAGCGCCTCCAGAAATCAGACCTACATAGATAGTTCTTCTGGTGGATTCTGGGAGCTTCTGTTGTTTTATTTTTTTGAAGCCTAGTGTAAAGGTTTTCCATGTTTGTATTCACATCTAATTTGGATGAAGCAATGGCATTACTCTCTTAAGATTTTCTGTATTATGCTGAAGTAAAAGTCAACTTAGTTTATAGTTTATTAAAATAGAACTGTAGAACAGCCCTTATGATGTAAGTTGCAACTCAGGTTAAACTCTTAAATTTTTCTTCCTGTAGGCTGCTGAAACCGGGAGTGGAAAAACTGGTGTAAGTAATCAAATTTAAAATAGCAGAAGGTAAAAGTCTGTAAGTGTTAAGAGGTGGTGTGTGTGTGTTTGTGTGTATGTGTATATGCATATATCCAGAGAGAATGTGTATATGTATTCAAGTAGTATTATTATAATCTTTACAAACATATTTGTAGACACGTCTTAAAGTGTTTCAGGTGCAATACCCAGTGTAGGTCCTGGGTATTGCACCTGAAAACTAGGCTGACTATATATCTGGAAATATCTGTATAAATTGTGGAATGAACTTAACTTCCCATTTTAGGCTTTTAGCATTCCAGTTATCCAGATTGTTTATGAAACGCTGAAGGACCAGATGGAAGGCAAGAAAGGGAAAGCAACTATTAAAACCGGTGGGGCAGGTAAGTTTTTATGTGTCACACTCCTCAAGTTTGGAACACTGTTATTTCATGTTGATGCCATCGCCTCACAAAGTAAAGTTAACCTTGCCATTAGGTGAGTACTTTTCCTTAATTTGGGATAATGTAAATAGAATGTCATCAACCCAGATTTTATAAAACAGTGAATATAAATTTACTGGTAGAATCATGGAAATAACTGAGGTGCATTTGACTGCAGTCTCTTAGTAATGCTCGTTGTCTTCAGCTTAGTGTGAACGCGCTCTTTGGTGTTGTTTTGAAAGCCATACTAGTTTAGCATCTTGCAAGATGCGAAGTGGTTACTAGTGTCCAGCTAAAAAAAAAAAAGTTTAAAAAAATCTTCCAGTTGCAGGGGTTGATGAGACATCAGCAGTTGGTTTGGACCTTTTAAGTGAGTTTGAGAAAGCTCTTCTAGGCTCAAACTTATTTTTGTGTTTCTGGGATAGCACAGTAGTGTGTGTGTTTCAATTCTGCTGTGCTGAATAAAGTTGTTGCATTGCTTCTGGCACCTAGCTAGATTTGGAAGATGAATAACAACACCTTGAGTTGCTGCAGATTTGAACTAGTAAACATTGAACTGAGGAGGAAATGCATAGGGCCAGAACCCACTGATACAGGATGGATTGTAACCATGATAATATCCGCACAGTATTTGAGGGTCTATTATACTTCCATTTAAATAAACTTGCAACTTGAAAGCTAGTAACCATGTCCGGTCTGTGGTATTTATCGACTGAGATTTATGTAAGTGACAGTAGCTGTACAAACAGCTGAAGTTCTGAAACTTCAAAGATGTTACAGAAGTTCTCATCTTTCAGCTTTGTTATAACTACTGCTACAGTGGTGACAGTACAGTTGACTTTACATTCTTTCAAAGGAGAATTTTTTTTTTAATGTAAATACAGTCAGTAATCCTAATTGAAATGGCATCTAGTTTTACAAAAACATTCTTACATTATGGAACCTCTAAACTTTATTGCAATATGTTATTTGGCATATGAAAAATTAAGTCAGAAATTTTATGTGCTATATGTGTATGTATCTTAGCTCTTCAGTAATGACATTTTAACTGATACTCTGGAAAATACCCTAATGTAAACTTGGAACAGAAATAGCAAGTACGTTTCAAATTTATTGCTCTTAATGTAGTTTTGGATATTTTCTACCTGAATCTGATTGTGCTTATGTGGAACTCTGGCTTATTTTATAAATGTCTTCATTGTTTTCAGTTGTATTTTTAAGTAACTTAATCTATGTTCTCCTTAATGGTATAATCTAAACTTTCATAGAATACATTTGCATTATGCTTCTGTGCCCCTCCTTGAAGTTGTAGGCCTTCATTTTGACCTCACATGATTTGCATTGGATTAAAGCTGTCTCCCCAGCTTTAAGCCAATTTAAGCCAAACACTGCAGAGCCAATATGAATGTCTAATTTGAGTTTTCTAGGCTTACCTTGTTGGTTTAATGTTTTTTTTCTATTGCTGTCTTTCAATCCTAGTGCTTAATAAATGGCAAATGAACCCATATGATAGAGGATCAGCTTTTGGTGAGTTGTCCTAATGTTCACTTCAAAATGTTTGCTTAATGGAAAAAAGAATAGAAGAAAGTATGCATGAAAAGCTTATTTTAAAAGCAGTTAGGCAATTTCTTTAACTACAACTGTCTTGTAATTTTCAGCAATTGGATCGGACGGTTTGTGCTGCCAAAGCAGAGAGGTAAAAGAATGGCACGGATGCAGAGCAACTAGAGGCGTGACTAAAGGTAGATATAAAATTATGTATTTTGGAGACTCTTAAGAAGAGTCACCCATTGTTAATGTAGGCGGTTGCATTTAAAACTTACTGTCCATCTGAGCAAATGTGTGCCGTTAATCAATTTACCACTAGCTGGAGACTTTGGAATGACAAATATCTCTGTTTTGCTCTCTTTGTGTTGTAAATTACCTTTTGGCTGTTAGGGGATTGAGTTGGAGGAGACAGAACCATAACTAATATTAATTAGAACACATTTCATTAAGGTGTTATTAATAGAAGATAGCTACTCACAGAGTACTTTAAGTTGTTTCCTCATACACTTCAGATACACGCATGCACAAATTTTATGGTTGTGTGGTTGGAACAACAGTTGAGGGGCCAACCCCAATGCTACTCAGAAGTGGAGTCCTACTGATACTGCAGTGGTTATAGGTGGGCATTCAGAAAGACCCTCGGTCTCACTTCATCAGGTGTGCAGATAATCCTGTAGCCTGTCTGTACATAGCAGCCAGTTGGATGCGGTTCAAGTTAACGCAACCAGTTGTTGACGCTATTGCGTGCAGGTGGTCTTGTATTGATTCAGCAGACCCCTGCTGTTCTGAGTTTATCGGTTCTTGTGGATTCAGTAGAACCACTGGTCTCTCAATCTTATCCCTCCTTTGGAGCCTTTCACACACCACCTCTCAGCATGTACTTTCTTTTGGCTGCTGTCCTCTGATAATCTCTTTCCTCGTTACGTACGTAGGTACCTACAGAACCTTTTCACACTAACACAATGGGGGATTTTATGACACTTTCAGCAGGGGTGGAAATGTTAGACTTGCATGGTCTTGGAAGTAGCCAGACTGAACCACCCTGATGAAATTGAAATGTTGGTGTTGTTTTAGATCCCTTCTTTCTCTTTTAAAGGGAAATACTACTATGAAGTTTCCTGTCATGACCAGGGCTTGTGCAGAGTTGGTTGGTCAACTATGCAGGCTTCGCTAGATTTGGGTGAGTTTCCTTTAAAAGAAGAAACCCTTAGACAGTTTCCATATTCACATGGAATGGCTGGAGTCCTGTTCTACTCTTGCAGAGAATGGGCTCTTTGCGAAGGGTAGTGATATCAGACAATTTAAAACTTTTTGTACAAATGTTGCTCTTCCTGTAAGAGGAAATCTGCTTAGGTGGCTGCAATGTTTTTCACTTGTGACTTTTTCACTTTTATTTCAATTTTTTAAAAAAGGTGACTAGAGACTAGTTAAACCAATAAATGTACTGGTACAAAAATACTAGTTTAGCGTATATCAAAGGTAGAAGTCTTTAGTTAGCACTGTGTATTTTTTTTTACATGGTAATGTTAGTAGTTTCAGTTACTGATACGAAGAGGAAGAACTGTAACCTGTCAACCAAAAGATGAAAAGCTGTGCTTTGTCTTGTCTTCAGGTACTGATAAATTTGGCTTTGGCTTTGGTGGCACTGGTAAGAAATCTCACAACAAGCAATTTGACAGCTATGGTGAGGTAAGCTTGAAATTCTTACTGGTAGAAAGATTGAAAGTTTTCTGTGTTGGTTCTGTACTGCAACAATCAACTGTCTTTTGTAATAGTGCTAACTTTTACAGGAAGGTCACGAGGCAAAAGTATCGGGAAACATTGAAGCATTTTTTGGATAAAAGCATAATAACAGATTTAACAAAAGCAAATACCAACTTGAGACTTATGATTGTGGCTAGACTACAAATATATTGACTCTTATTTAGGAGATAAACCTTTTCTGTGTGTTATAGGTTAGATTAACTCATGTCTTAACTATTTCTTACTTCAGTCTTAGCTTGAACACCACCAACCCTTCTGTATACCTTGACAAATGTCTAATTGAGGACATCGATTCCTGTTTACTAGTAGTTAAAGTAAAAGTAATCGCACAACTCTCTAATATGTCAAAACACAAACGCTAATAAGATGTAGTTAGTCATGCTCTATTTCTGGCTGTTGAGTTGTTTGCCATTAGAACTGTTACCTTAATGTACACTTCTGAAAATGTCTACCAGGAATATCTGTGATGGTTTTTGTGTAGAGTGCCGGTTGAGTTCAGATGCTTAAGCATAATTTATATAAATATGAATAATACAGCAGAAACTCAAGTGTTTTTGTGGTATTAATGAACTCTCAATGCTATAAGACTTGCAACATTTTATGACTATTGTAGCTTTTCTATAGTAGTGACTTCTGAGCTGTTGAATTACAAGCACTTTCTATATTATAAATTACTCAGATTTTATTGTGTATCTTTACAGTGAAGAGATTTCAAGATCTTTAAATGAAGCATTTAAGTATACATAACATGCGTATAGTACCTCCTGTAAGAGTTAGTCTTTTTATATAGCCAAAATAGAGGTTTCTGTTACCGTGTTTGGTGCTCTAAGCTTAGATTTACATTGGCTAATAAATGTGTGATTAATGCACTCTTCCATAATGCAGAGTACTTCCAGGTAAATGACTTAAGTCATCATTGTCAAAATGTTTGGCTTTAAAGTAAATTTAAAGCAGCAATATATGTTGGAAAATTGAAGATTAATTGGGCAGTTTACTGCAGATTTGTAATAAAATAAAAATACGCATGCTGTCTACAACAGTACTGTTGGAATAAATTGAACTTGCATCTCAAATCAGCATTTAATAGGGAAAAGTGGGAAAACTGTAGAAGTTGACAGAATGGAAGCACTAAGTTTTCTTAATACACTGAAAACTAGTTTCTTAGCTTCACAAGCTTCTTTTTGTTATAGGAATTCACTATGCATGATACAATTGGGTGTTATCTAGACATAGATAAAGGACAAATAAAATTTTCCAAAAATGGTAAGTTTTATTCACTTTCTCCTTTGAAGTTGTATTGGGATGCTTGTATTAGGGGAGGGGGAGGAAGAGGAACACGCACACATGTGGAGTCTGACTGAACAAACCCTGCTTTCAGGGAAGGACCTTGGCCTTGCATTTGAAATCCCACCACACATAAGGAACCAAGCACTTTTTGCAGCTTGTGTACTGAAGGTAATTTAGGAATATCACAGATGTGTAAGATCATGAAAATTGTTCTAGTTCTGGTAACTAACTACTTCTGTATAAGATTTGCATAACCACCTACAATTACTGTAGTTGTGCTTCTACGCTCTCTGTTTCTTTTGGCCTACTAATATTTCACTACTGGAGTGGTGGCCACAATGTCTTAGCTTTGACAAGTACCGTTGAAATTAAATATGAAATGTTTAAATTCAAGTTTAAGTTTTTAAACTTGAATATGAGAGTAGAATAGCATGGATAACTAATTCCTAATACCAGTGTTATCTTGCCCATATTAAACTTCAATATACAGATCAATTCTGTAACTGAAAATCAATTCAACAGGTACAAGCAACTAATTTGAAAGTGCAGAAAATCCTGTTTTGTTTATTCTTAACTCTAAACATTATGATAATGTATTAGTATGTCTTCCTGAAGTTAATCTCTTACTGAGTAAAGGTTTTAACAAAACACTTTGGTCAGAGAAATACATGAGTCAAATGTGGGGTGTTCGTTTGTTTGTTTTTTAAATTGTGGTTTGTCATTGAAAATGAATGGAACATAAAAGTTCAAACCAGGTTTCCATGTATCTGTAAAATTGGGAATATTCTGATGTAGAAGTTTTAGGAGCTAGAACCACGCACAGAATGTCTGCAGGTTTTACACAACTTGGGGAAGGGGAATGTGTATGAAGGGAGAAAACACCACTTCCCCCACTCCACATCTAGCTGGTTTCTCATGGGGAGACTAATTATGGAATTGTTTCTCATTTTATGTGGTCTTTTGAATCTGTGTATATGACACAACTTTGCTGAAATCTAGAATGCTGAATTGAAATTTAATTTTGGTGAAGAAGATTTCAAGTTTCCACCAAAAGATGGCTATATTGGCCTCTGCAAGGCTCCTGATGGCAGTGTTGTAAAATCACAACACTCAGGTAAGTTAAATTTTTAAACTTCTCTCAGTTCTATATTTAGATTGTGTTACAGAGCATCTTTTGGTCACTTTAATTGCTTCATTACTGCTGTATGCGTCTTAACAATGATCTTACCAGTAACGATATTAGTGCTTTTTTAAAGTATTCCAAATTTTCTTAAACCACAAATAGCCTAACATTTTGAATTCAGAAATGTATCAGATAAAAAGACAAGGTCAGCAAATTTACTCAGCAGTGTCATCTTAAAAATGAATGTGTGTGTTCAAGTTCTGCAGTATGATTAGTTATGTTGCATGGCCAGTATACCCACTATGATGGCAAGATTCACTAATCTCTGAATATTAATCTGAAGCTGTACATAATTGAGTGAGCAATAACATCACCTTCTTCATTATTCTAAATGCTCCATTAGTTTTAGGTTACTAGTAGAAAACACAACGGGTTTTTTCCAGTAAAAAAAATCCAGGATAGGAATGTAGTTTGTCTTAATGGCGTATTTTTTCACGTAGGAAATGCACAAGTGGTTCAAACACAGAACCTTCCGAATGCTCCAAAAGCATTGATAGTAGAACCATCAAGAGAGTTGGCAGAACAAACTTTGAACAATGTGAAGCAGTTCAAAAAATACGTTGATAATCCCAAATTAAGGTAACAGTGTGTCTGTTATAATCGTATTTATGATATTGTCTAAGGATGTGACTCTGCAGGGGAAGCAGGGCAGCAGGCATTCCACTTAGTAGCTAAGAGGACCTTAATCTGCAGTGTTACTGATGCTAGTCTCAGTAATATCTGGTACCAACCAAACGTCTGACTTTTCAGCTACAGTCAGACCAGTTGGGGTTTTTTTTGATGTGTTTTATCTGTGGACTACATCTTTCTGGTATGACAAATCTATTCGGATTTGTGTTTTGTTGTTTTTTCCCCTTCAGATTATCAAATGTGTATGATGCGTTATGTTTTCAATCAAGAAAAGCACATCTGCTTACTGCCCTTCTTTTATGAGGATCTTCCTGTGCTCCCCACCTCCCCATGCCCTAGTTTTGTTTGTTGTTCATCTCCAACAAATACTTGAAAACAGAGTGGACCTTGTAAATATTAGTGTGTGCACAAGACAAATGTTGTGGCGATTAGCATGGAGATGCAGTTCTGAAAAATGAATTGTCTACAAGCTGCTTTGGTCTAAAGTTTTCTGCTCTGACTGTGCTTACAATACTTAAGTGTCTCCATGTTCTAAACTGCAGTCAATTTACAAGAGTATTTTTGGTAGAATTGCAGGGGAGTAGCAATGGGAAGATGCAAGCTATGATGTAAGATTCATTTAGTTTACTCCCCCCCCCCCCCGAATGGTAGGGGTTGGAAGGGACCTCTGAAG